GTTGAAAATTTTTTTTTTTAGTAAGCCCTATTTTTTGTCAGTTTCAAAAATTATTATCTCTTTTTTTTTTTTTTTTTTTTAGTTTTTATTATTATTATTTTTTTTTTTTATTTTTGTTTAACCCCTAAGCGGCAAAGCCACTGATTTGTCACAGCACAAACATTAAAATAAGAAAAAAAAAAAAAAAAAAAAAAAAAAATTGTTCAAGGAAGATCTTTTTCTATATACCTCTTTCTCTTTTTTTTTAAACTACAAAAAAAATCGTATAATTTAAATTTCATCAATATATATATATGCAATTATTATTTTATGCTCATTTTTTTAGTTACTCCTTTACTTCAATATATAACGGTACTACCTCATGAAACAAAACAATGAAACCGTGAACCCATCAAATTTTTTTTTAAATTTACCAAACAATTTTAATAACCATATTTGAAAAGTTTTTCCCAAAAGCAAGATCTACCACTACAACCTCATATTTCACTGGTTAAGTATTTTCATAATATTTGATTGTACCGAGCCAATATCTGAAAAATGCTTTTTTTACTTTTACTTTATAAAAAAAAAACTCACTATTATTTGACATAAAGATTATAATTAATTTTTTTTTTTTTGTCTTCCCCTTAAAATAATAATATTTAATTTTTACTCGATAAGAAATACACAGTAATAATTAAGCAAATTTTTCAAATATTGGTCCGGATTTTTTAATTAATTATTTTAATTCATTGTATTATTAATTTTTTTTAGGCGATTTCATAAAATTATTTTTTTTACAGACGCGAACGAAATCGTCGCGAAATTATTAATTTTCCAAATAAAAACCTGTGAGAATATAATGGTTAATAATTTATCTTTTCTTTTAATTTTTTTTTTTTAACTTTTTTTTTTATATATATGTATATGTATAATGATCAGTTCGATGGTCTAATTTTATTTTCGTAATACGAGATCACTTTCGCTCAAGTTTATCAGTCGAAAGAGCTTTGATTTATTTTTATTTATTTTTTTTTTTTTTACTTTTAATTTTAGTTTTCATTCATCAATGTTATTATTACCTATTAACTATAAATAAATAAAGCCAGTGATATTTAATACAGTTAAAGTATTATTTTGTAACTCGGATTAAACATTTTTTTTTCTATATTTCATTGCGCAGCAATTTAATTCATTAATTTCGGAAACTCCTTTAACATTAAAATATGTATTAAATGTGAATTTATCAATATAAGAATTGCTTTCATCAGAATTGTTTTTTTTTTTTAAGTTTTAACAGCCATATTAATTAATTAAATTTTATATATATAAGATTATGTACGTTAAATTAGGAAATAGAGTTTGAAAGACCTCCCTCGACTTATCCCTGAGCTGAATCACGAATTTACATTGATTCTCCATTTAGAAGATCCGGAGGCAAGTACGAATTCAGGGAAGCTGATGGTGTCGTACGATGACTGTCTCCTTCAGTACCCCATAATGTACTACCCGATAAATTTGGCTGCCACAAATTACTACCCCCTGATAGAAAAAAAAAAAAACAAAATAATTCATTAAAAATAAGAAATATTAATATTTTAAATAACCTTTCTCTCTTTTTTTAATCTTATTAAAATAAAATAAAATTATTAATGATAAGAATATATAAATTATCGAAAGATGATTACATTTTCGAGTTTTTTATCGCTTAATTCAAACTTTAACGAGTGATTATAATTATTAGCTACGATCTTGATATAAAAAAAATTTTTTTTTTTTTTTTTTTCTTTACCTCCACTTGCAGCCCACGTATCACTAACAGACGGTTGTTTCAAAGGCGGAGCCTGTGCCCTGAGATTCCAATTCTGCGAACTTCCTTGTGGTCCTGCCTGAGGTTGAGAATGGCCCAATGAATTCAACATGGTTGCAACATCCGATTCTCCAGGACTTTCGGCGAATATAGTCGTGTTTCCCAACACACAATTATTCAGTGCTATTTGTGCCTGATTAGAATTTGTTTTTTTTTTTTTTTAAATAATTTATTAGCCATTGATTAAAAAGTTAAAATATCAAATTTCAACGCAACAAAAGAAGCCAATGATAAGTTTAACTTTTATTCAAATTTAAAAATATTGATTTTTTATTTTATTTTTTTTTTTTAACATAAAAAGAAATTTTAAAAATTTTAGAAAGAAAAACAAATAATAATAATAATAATAATAATAAAATTTTTAAATATTAGATTAGATAAAAAAATGTCATCGACTTACTTTACTAGCTTCCTCTCTGGAAGAGTATTTAGCAAA